CTGATGTTTCGGGCCTAGAAGAAGGGTCTAGGCCCGAAACGTCAGCCTTCCTGCTCCTCTGATGCTGCTTGGCCTGCTGTGTTCATCCAGCTCTACACCTGGTTATCTCTTGATACTTACTTTGTTGAAATATAATTTATATTACATGCGTCTGACCTGTTTGAAAATTTCATCTTCTTCCCTTCTGCGTCTTTCCTCTACTTGACGTAAACCACTTTCTTCTGCCTCCCTGATGCGACGGCGACGCTCAGCCAACATAACAATTGCATGGATGCGTCGTTCCTCCTGCAGTCGCAGCAGCTCCTTATTCAGGAAGTCAAACATGTCTGCAAGTACATGACCTTCGATATGTGAGAGATAATCTTCCATTGTAGAAAGCTGTAGCAAGAAAGAAAGCATGCATACTAATTGTATAAATTAATACAAGTCTGTTACAAAAAAAAATAATTTAGTCAAACAATTTAACTGACTCTGATTAGTACTTTTTTCTTGTTTAAATGTCAATTTTAAATGAGCATTGTGGATTGCTCATAAATATTATTTGTGTGTACAAATTTACTTGATAATTTATAACAGGAGTACCTGAAACAATGACCTAGGAATTCAATAATGCAGCACCCATTCTACATACTTAACATTGAAATGAAAGCATCCAACTTGTGAATGGTGTGTGTGCATATGCATTCTACATAGTTGGGTAGAGTATTCATGAATTGTAAGGCAGGAAGTTAGAATGGTTGGTAAAAAAATGATTGTGGGAAAAGTGCTTGGTCCCTTTAAGAGATTGTGCTTTGTCTGTGCTTGGAAGTTTACAAGTACTATGCATAGACTGTGCCCGAATTGAAACATTTTGTATTGAACAGCCAACAGCATTTTTCACCAAGACGACAAGTTTAAATTTGGCCATTAAATTTAAACCAAGCAGTCAATGATTTAAAGCCAATTAAATTTAAAAACTAAATGGAGTTGACAATATCGAACCAATCCTACATAAGAAATACTATTATGTCATTATGGGTATAAAGATGTGGGCATTTGGAAAAAAATCAGGAGACAGCCAACTGCCATCTGAGGGGAGAACCAAATTTTAGCTGCAGCGAAACCAAGTCTGCCAGTTGAGATACAAATATGGCTTTCACAAAATTGAGGTCTGTGAAAAGAACCATCAAAAGGTATCATTGCATTTTAGCTCAAAGTCCTCTCCGAAGAAACTAAAGAGAAAAACATCCAAGACAGCAGAATCATCAGAAGAAAGACATTTGTGGCACAAGATCAACAAAGGAATACTGGAGATAAAGTGGAGAAGACATAGGCTGTGCGAACTTAGAGAGATTAAGTTTTAATTTTTTAAAAATATTAACTGGGTTTGTACAAGTGGGACTTGTTTAATTGAACAGCATTCCAGTAGAATTTAGAACAGTTAGGAAGTAGTTAGTAGTCTGGGAGGCGGGGGGGAAATTGTTCAGTTTGTTAGTAATTCTGTTAATTTGATCATTGTTAGGGTTAAACAAATAAATTGTTTCTTTTTATTTGTAAAATGGAGATCAGGGATTTTCTTTCTTTCTTTTAACCACTCTTAATAGTGTATGAGGGGAAATGCAAACTTCTCTGCGTGTTTTGGCAGGGTAATTATTAGAAGGGAACATCTACTCCCATCATAACAGGTAGGGGCTTGTGTTTTGGTTTAGTTATCAGAGGGGTTTGGCCATTTCCCTTCTGTAACAATAGGAAGTGTACATATTGATATAGACATCATGAAAAGTCTAAAATAGGGTTACGCACTTTTCTTTTGCAAATACAGTGCCATTTCATGTCTGTCTTACCAAATTAATTTGCCCTGAATGCAATCGGTGCATTTCAGAGATCTGTGGTTGAACCATAACCATAAAGGGAACACAAAATTATAACTCTTTAAAAATGATAGACTACACATTAGGCTAAATATTTTCAATCGCATTTAACAGGTTTTATAAAACATGCACTGGATGAATCAATACGTCATTCATATTACATGACCATTATTTCTATCTTTGTCTCGTCAGCTAACCATAAAAAAAACGCATATCAATGTCCCAATAGAATTTATTTCCACTAAATATTATAAATCTGCTTGGATTACCTTTTGCTGCTGTAGATCTCGTTCATGTTGCAAGGCCAATATAGCCTCCATTTCTGCTTGCTTCAGGAGTTGTTTGTCCTCTTGGAGTGCATGGGTGGTGCGGAGTTCCTGAATCAGCTCTATACGCTTCTCCTTGCCTTCAAACATCTACAAGATTATGGATTACACGACAATTACTTCTTCTTATTTAGCCCCAACTATCACATGTCAACATGTTAGATGGCTGAAACAGCCTAACTTTGCAGGTCAGTAAAACTCTCAGCATTGATACTATTGTCAGAAATAGAATTTAAGCAAAATAAGGTGGATGCTCTTCACACCGTTATGCAATGTTTTACTATTACATAGCTTTACCAACTTCAGAACTGAAAATCCTCTTGCTGTTTCTCAATAACTAAGGCACTAAGGAGAGCACATGCTTCTGCCATGTTCTGTTGATTCAATATTATTAAAATTACACAGCTCTTTGGAGGTTTTCCTTGTCTATCTTGATAGTCTATAACCAAAAAGTCTTTAAAAAAAAAAAAGCACAGCTTCCATTTCACTGAGGAAGCTACAGGCAGGGCAATCTACAACCTGCTCTGAAAATCCTACTCAGATTTGACAGCTGTAGCAAAATGCCACCATAGCAGCTGAGAAAATCCTAATCATTCTAAAACAATGACAATGACATTCTAAATCAAACAACTTGCAATATTCTAAAAGACAAAAAGGTCAACTGGCCCTACTCCTTAATATTTACAAGTGGATCATTTAAAAACAAAATCCAGGATCTAGTTCCAGATTCAGTCGAAAACCCTTTGCCAAAAACTAAACACTTTTCCTTAGGCCACATTTCACCTGTGCACCAAGTTTTATTGAGATCCATCCCTTCATTTTCTGAGATATGTTATTTACAGTTAAAGAGAATGAGAGGGGAAACATATTACCTCCACTCATTTCAGTGACAGAGGTAATAACATAGCACACATATCTGCTGTGCTCTTACCCCAGTTTACAAAGTTCACTTCCTCAAAGTACACAACGCTGCATGAATTGACAAATTTAGATCAAGTTTATTTCAATCTATAAAGACTCCATAAAAGACTTACCATATTCTGAACAGTCCTTCCTCTTATTAATTTTTGCAGATAAATAACAGCTAGATACCGTTCCTCTTCACCCTTTAACAGAAAAATTAGAACAGATATTGAGAGTCTTAGTGAAGTTGTCCATCATACTGAATCTCTAGACAATGGCATGGAGTTTAAGAAGAAAGCTTGCAAGATACTCCTAATGTTTAAAATCTGATATTAAGTGGATTTAAAGTCATTTTAATTAAAACATAATTAAATATTTAACATATTCTACAGTTCTGCAATGCTATATTGACTACAGAAACAGGAATAAAGTAGAAGTTGTTATTGACTAGACCAAACCACTTCAAACTATTCAGAAGATAGGGTCTAGATTAACTTTTTCTTATTTTAAAAGACAAAAGTAAGGTAATGTGTTCCAGATGCAATTTAATTAGTCAAACCATCAGATTTAAAGCAAAACACACTTTATTCATCCACTATAGTTATAATACAACAAAAAGATAGGAAGGAATTGGAAATAACTCTTTTGGAAAACTTAGCAGAACTATAGATGCAGTAACTATTACTAAATTAACTGTTCCAATATAGCAACATCCTATAAATACACCCTTGGCAAAATCCAAATTCAGAAAACAGACTGTCCCACATGTTCTCCAATTCAGAAGGAAAGAACATCAAAGACAATTTGGAGAGAGAGAGCACTAAAGATCCTGGTTCTGTAGGAGTTTGACCACCCCTCTTCAAGCTGCTTCTATTGTTAATTACGCCACCCTTCAGTCTTCTAAACTCAAGAGAAAACAGATCGAGACATTTGTTGTCACTCAGTGTGGCCCCATATGCCAAAATTGCAAGCAGAAAGGACGCATACTTCTGGTTGAAAATCTGCTAACCGCTATATTGAGCTAATGTCTAACAATTGGTGACCTTTACCTATGCATGCAGCAGGTACTAGGCATTTAAAGGGCTTGCTCAAGATCATCACTCCAATGCAAAATTTCTGAGGCAGCCAGTGCCATTGTAGGTGACATTCAGCAAATTCACCATGACTGTACAGGTGCTGATCAAGAAGATATGTAACTTACTTAAATAAAACAGATCAGTTCTGAAGGAGGTCACTAGACCCAAAACATTAACTCTGCTTTCTTGTCACAAATGCTTCCAGACATGTGCAGATGTTGAATTTCTCCAGCATATTGTTTTAGATTTCCAACATCTGCAGTTCTTTGTTTCATTTTAGTGCTTAACTCACTGTGATATCTCTTCCAGGTATGCCTACCTTGAAGAGGTTTTGCTCCTTTCTCCAAAGGATTTATGTTCTAATCTTTCTTCTTGTTCTCCATCATTACTTGTGCTATTGCTCCTCATGTTTGACAAAGACTTCACCAAAACTTGTTTCCACAGCCATATCTCATTCCTCAGTGACTGCATCCAGCTGGTTTCCAAGTGAAGTTTTATCCTGTGATTTGATTCTGCTCAGGATTGCAGGCATGTCCATGGTGTACAAGGTCCCTCAAACAGATGTTCTTGCTGCATCCTGAGATCCACACTCTCAGTGCCATATGCACATTCTTGACCTCTCTCTCCATCAGCACTGCTTTATGGTATCTCAGAGCTGCCCTGCCCCCCAATTCCACAACATTCTCTGGCTCGATTCAAAGTTCTAATAAGAAACCTTTTCCTTTCAGGCATTCTGAAAAAGGGTCACTGGACCTGAAACGTTAACTACTTTCTCTCCACAGATGCTGCCAGGTTTCTCCAGGAATTTTTGTTCTTGTTTTAACTGACTTAAATGTTGAGCCACGAGGAACAGGAATATTCTCAATGCTCCTGATTCCCCAATCCTGTTCTTTTCTGGGCCAGACCACTGATGCTGACTCTGATCAACCTTTGTTTTTCCCATGACCTTAATCATCCTCCTCCATCCTCAATTCTCTATTATCTTGGCCTCCTGATCTCCCTGGACCCGAGTCCACTGATCCTGATTGAATATTCACAGCCACACCGAAAGCTGCAGTAATGCTTACACGGGTGTGTTTATTTTTATTCATTCCTACCTTCACTAAACACCCAGTGTTGGAGAAGATACTGTAGACAGATATTTGGTTCTTTACAAGAGCAAATAAGAGGCCTATCACTTACAGCAGGTGAGAGTAAAGACCACCTCATTTTAATAACCAATATAGTGGAGAGTGATGCAAACTATTTGACAATAAGGTCTGAGGCTCAATGTCAGGACCCAAAACTTATTTTAAGCAATAAGATTTATACAAACTGTCCTCGTTATTTAATCCTTTAAACCTTAGTATAATTCTAGTGAATTTATAGCCTTCCATTCTCAAAGCCAACAGATCTTTCATGAGATAATAAGGTGTAGAGCTGGATGAACACAGCAGGCCAGGCAGCAGAGGAGCAG